TTCTAGCATATTGAGTCCAGACTTTGAAAAAGAAGTAAGGAGACAGTACATATCTCATTACTAGAGTTGCAGTTTGCATGTGTCTTGTTGGACGAAATACAACCTTTTTCAAGGCCTTGAGAACGGGTTAAAAAAGGCTTCACTTATCAATTTCTCAGAACAGATTCAAGTCTGTACCCAAAGGAGCTGTACAAATACTCAGGTAAAGTACTTTAGACATGTGCATTAACGTACCTATGATAAACGGACAAAATTATCAGTAAAAAGCAGGGGCGAAGGCTGACTTGTTTGGCAGGGTAATCAAAGTGAAATGGGACCAGATAGGGCCTGGAGATATCACACTCACACAAGTCACAAGAATCTTACTGGCACTGGAGGCGGCAACTCTGAGTTGTGAATGAAAACAAATCCTGAATTCATGTTGTATGCTTGTTCAACCGCTAAAATAATCGGGAAAGTATTTCATTAAATATTTATTCTAACTAACCTTAAATTTAACTTTAGATTTGAACACACGAACACCAAGGAAAGAAGCACAGATGTCAGCACTACAATGGCATGTTATACCAGACAGCCGAAACACTTTGGTAGAGCACGCCAATTATTAATTTTTTATTTCACATTTGGCTGTTTTGTGTCTAGCTTTTCGCGGCCAGGAGCCGCTGTCATAATCGAGGTCACGATCTGATTATAGGACGTTAAAAAGTCGAGGAAAAAAACAAGCACTAGCAGTGTAGTAGCAGGAGTCAAAGGATTATTAGGAGTTAGTTCCCCTCACATCTGTGAGGTACACTCTACCAGTGTAATAGTTCGCTTAGATAATCAGCGCGTCTGGGTGCTTATAACTGTGGCCCGAAAGGGGTGAACAGGGTATATGCAACAATGAAACAGTTCTGACTGCTATGCACATGTTCCCTTCAAATCTATTGGTTGACTCTTCCAGCCTCACTTTAAAGCTTGTGACTGCTTATGGAGTGGCCCGATAGGGGCGAACAGGCTATTTCTGTGGCAATGAAACGGTTTTTAAGGTTAGGCATAGTCTATTGTTCATTGGTGATTATGAACGTCTTTTTACATTTAATTTATGAGGTTTACGTCTGTGGGTGAATTTGACTGCGACAATGTTTCAAAATTGGGAAGGGAAGCAGTGATTATTTGATTATATAGACGCTTCGCCTCTGGTACAAGTATAGGAAGACTAATTAAAAAGAAGTACAAAGCCACCGCCCCTCCTCTTTTTTCCACAAAAAAAGAAAGAAAAGAAAAACTCATACTCATACAAAAAAGCAACATCAAGAACAACAGAGAAACAAACAGCTACACAAACATTGTCCCTGCGGGTGTGATAGAACAGGATGACAGATTCGAGGATCCTGTGTCGGAATCTCCGCAACTTCATTGTTTAAATAAGTATTAAGTCTATAACCCGGTTGTGAACGTGCTACCGACAACCCCCCTTACGAAATCCCTAAAATAATATCTGCCACTCTACTAGCTACCTACTAAGGTCCTCTCTTCACTTGTCTTGGCCCGCTAGAATAGGCTAATTACTAACAAGGTCCCCTTAGCAGAGAGACCATGCCCACCATTTCGGAACTTCACGGTGACATTAAAGATGTTTCCGGGTGGTGTCGGTAGCCTAGTGGTTAGGCTACCGGACTCGTAATCGTGTGATTGCGGGATCGGGGGTTCGAGCCTCAGCTCGGTCCGACGTTGTGTCCTTGGGAAAGGCACTTTACACGAACTTCCCATTTGGCTCGGTCCTATCGGAGACGGACGTTAAGCTAGGAACTCCCGCCCCTTAAATAACCTAATAGTGTTGATAGGGGCGTTAAACCCATACCATTTTCATTTTCGAAGATGTTTCCAGTAGGGAACGGAATAGCGGGTGCCCACATCCTTCGTGACTCATCAGAGCAGAGCAAGGTAGGACTGACGCTAACATTATTTTAAAAAACAACAACAACCAAATAACAGAAGCATGTCTTCTTAATAATTAAAAACATAAGCACCATCCCACATCATCACTTATCACCACCACCACCGTCATTACTAAAATCATCATTACTCTCAGATCCTTCACAAACATCTCTAATTATCTGAACATCTGTATGTAACAGTAATATGTTATAACAATTATATTATGTACGTTATACATCATTGGGCATTCTCATACGCACGTTTTTCTACTAATCAGATGGCGTCAATATCATAGAAATGGGCAAGAGATAAAAAAAAAAGAACGGGATGACATTATTTTGGGATTGTTATGATAACAATGATCAAAATAATGGATATCTCGGTCGTAAATGTTGCGAGACCAATATCTTTTTAACACTTAAAAGTATATTACAATGCACGACACTGTGACGCTCTTCAAAGAGAGACAAAATAAGAAAAGTGAATGCGAGTTATCGTGGGAACAATTTTATTTTTCACTGAGACCTGAAAACAAAATGAAGGCTACTTTTTATAAGGCCATGGCAAACTACTTGCAACTATCCATATCACATCAACAGATAATATGGTTAATAACGTCGAGACACAGAAAAATAATTCATTCTTATTTGGGGTTAATGAAAGAGAACGCATAGGGGGGGGGGCTAACAATGTTTAAAAAAAGATTGCCTTTAGTGAGACAGGTGACCAACTCTCACATTGCCTCACCACACCCCCACACTACTTCCACGTCAAATCTGCCCTATAGATGAATTTGCTCTCCTGGATTCGGTTTCAATATGTTAAAAGGAGAATCTCAAAGTTTAATTACGTTCTCTTACGATTCTTGAGGATCTGAAAACCCCCCACATAAATAAGGGTTTCTTAAAAAAAATAAAAAATCAAAGTAGAGTTGGATTTACTTCAACTGCGTCAATTACATTATCTAAATACGCCCAGTTATTATTCACAGTGGTTCAATATTCACTTTTCAGATTTAAAGTTATGAGAATAAGATTAAATTATACACACTAACAGGAATGGTATCGTCAATTAAAGTTAAACATTCCTTAGTGTGTGTGAGAATAAAGATTTTGTCTCATGTTCTGTACCTAAAACTCGGATATTTTTTTATATAACGTCAACTTTTCAAGCTTTAGAAATGAACGGTGAAAAAAGTAATGTTTATCTTTTCCTACACTTCACAATTTACTATAAATGCCACTGAATTGGAAGCAACGCTAGTGAGTAAAAGATAGAGTACTAAAGAATGAAAATAACAATGGATCTAACCTACCAATCTCTTATGCTAACACTAACATCGAATCTTGCAATCGGTCTGGGTTTAGTTGTTTTTTCTGAACAAATATTATTTGAGAGTTATAATCATTCATTGTACTGTCAGACCCATTAATGTTGCCATTATGCCTTTCATATCACCTAAATCAACTTTACCTTATACTAGAGTAAACTTAAAGAATGTATATATCTTCTCCTCCATTCTCAATACCTCTTCCTGTAAAATAATTATTCACGAAGTCACACTTCTGGAAGGCACTATATCAGTTCAAAATCATAAGTCAAGGAATAAAGAAACACATGTATAGAGTATTGTGTTACGAACAAATATCTACACGTCAAGGAATAGCGAGATATAATATAGAATACTTGGAAATAGGCAAAATATGTATAGGCTAAAATCATGGAATAACAGAACACAAATGAAAACTGGATGATGGGAAAACTTGTACAAGTCAAAGAGTATCAAATATAGAATGGGTGATGGGCAGATACATGAACCTACATCCTACATATAAAAAAATAAAGAAACGAGGACATTAGACATTGGACAATGGGCATTAATATACAATTATTATACTATTATTATAATACAATAGACATAATAGAAACGTCTTGTGAAAGAGGAGAGACACAAAGGAGTGAGTCAAACCTTTCAACACAAGAGGAAACCAAAGTCGGTTCGAAAACAATATATTTTCTATCTTTGAAAACTGTCCTTTTTTTCAAAGCTGTCTCATATAAAGGGTTTATTATCATTGGAAGCAGGTCTATGTAATTCATGAGTTGAGAGTTGTATTCAAAAAGGTTGTTTAGATGAGAAAGATTGATTTAAAAAAAAAAGGAAATGACCGACGTCTGAAAGACATCTGTTGTTGCACGCAAAAGAATTGAGTTTAATTTCACAGGGCAGAGCTTTTTCGCCTAGTGTCCTCATCTGTCTCCCGAGGTGTTGACAGACAGGGTCGAGGAAGCCTGCCTCTTAATTTCAATGGCGATGGTTGTTTAGGGGGGGGGGGGGCGTAAAACATGTAAAATGACATTCACAGTTAGAGATCATTTGTTCTAAAAGTTTACATGTGCTGTATACTAGTTTGTTCAATGCTCACAGAGGAAAATTGGCATTGATGTTCCCGACATTAGAAGTTTCTGCATGTTTAATCCGTAACTTCCGCTTTGCCATGACTCTTGCTTAACTGAAGAACCCGAGTAATAATAATAGATAGATAGCATTTGTATAGCGCAAATCCCCGCTCAAAAGCAAGCATTATGCGCTTAACAATCTATACTATTACCCCAGCAGACCTCAGAGTATTCTGAAACAACTTCAACTTCCTGGGAAGAATACAGTGCAAGCGGCCATTTATAGGCGCTAAAACACTAATATACTGACAAGATCTTTCGCTGTCTATGGCCGGGTACCCATTTCCACCTGGGTGAAGGGAGAAAAATTCGTGTTAAATTAATGCCTTTCCCAAGGACACAGCGTCGGGCGCGCGGCTCGAACCCCCGAACCGGCAACCTCACAATTACGAGTCCGCTAGCCTAACCACCAGGAAACCGACGCCTGTACGTGCCTTTTACTTGGACGCTCTTCAGTAGTAGAATTATTCTTGATTAGTTGCTCGGGGAAATATTAGAACCTTACGGCGATCAAAGTTTATTTTTGCTTATATTTTTGCACTGACCAGTCTAATTAGATTAGACATGCTGCGCAAACGTTTAATCTACATAAGCAGTCGTTTCATTGACTGTGCATACTATCACCCATCTCCACACTGAGAAGTAAATGCAACTGTTGTCTGAGGTTTGCTTTCTTGCAGCTTTTCTTCGTACACAACACCCCCAGACCTCCATCGGCGCCGCACAAAAGGGTACAGGGAATACAAACGTCTGCAAGGAAGAAGGACACGCCTCAATGCTTCTGGCATCAACGATTCCTTTTTATGTAGGTAGTCATTAGCTTGGCACAAAGTCGGAGAGTAATTTTGTTCCAAAACTTTTTTCGTTTTGCAAGGCACAGGTAGCAAGGCACCGTGGAACGGACGGAAATCAAGAGGAAAAATATCAGATTTTCTAAAACAAAAGTCCCTTGCATACTTCGAAGCTTTGTCAAAAATATGTGTACTGTTTTCCCCGAAAAAGAAAATGTCAACATAGGGCCACTTGTAAGGGTGGTTTGGTAATGTATTTGACTTTCGCCAGTAAAATTTCCACACTTGGAGATCTCTTGGTGCGTGCACACCAAACAGCTGGCCTGACTCCTTGGTCAAGGCGTCAAAGAGAAGATCTTTCTGTGAACTGTTGACCCAGACATCTATATCGTCATCCCATGGAACAATACCGTGATGACGATAGGCTCCAAGCAAAGACCCCCCATAAAGCATAAAAGTCACACTTTGTTTCAGGCAAGTCTGCACAAAGACTTGGAGAACATAAAACAAAATGAGGCGCTCTTCCTCGGAGATGAGAGGCTGGAAATACGTGTACAGTTGAGCGCTGGTCAAATTTTTCAGGTTTGGTTTCGGGTTCTGCAGAATGTCCGAAGGATAGATGATGTCCATTCTGCCTAGATTTTGTGTTGGAGCAGACAAGATATACGTTTCGTTGACGTCAGGAAAACAAAAGTTTGTGACATTTGTTGGTGGATCAAGTCGAAGCCCGGGCAAATTGTCTGGTTTGGTCATGACGTGTACAAGAACGGTTGATGGCAGCTGCAGAAAAGTAAAGTAAAATACCAGGACAGAAAAGCAGTAGAGTATCCATGTCTTTAGCCTTATACTTCGAGTCCTGAGGTATCGAAATACGGCCATGGCGAGGTTCTCTCAGGCAGCAGACATCTCTGAAGAGAGAAGAAAATGAACAAAGAGTTACATATTATTTAGAAAAAGATGCCCATATTGCAATAAAGAAAAAACCCAATTGCTTCTCTCTCTCTCTCTTTCACTTTCTCTCTCTCCCTCTCTCTCTCTCTCTCTCTCTCTCTCTCTCTCTCTCTCTCTTTCTCTCTCTCTCTATCTATCTATCTATCTATCTATCTATCTATCTATCTATCTATCTATCTATCTAACTAGCTATATACTATCTACCTATCTCTATTTCTCTCTCTATTTCTCTCTCGATCTATCTATCTATCTATCCATTTATCTATCTATCTATTTTTTTCCATGTATCTCGAGAGTAAAAAACCCAACAAACATGACGTTGAAGCTACGGTGTAAAAAACCCACCAAAAACAGTAAGGCTCGCAAGAGATATTTTTAAATTCAACCCGAAAGCTTATTCCTCTGTTATTTTTTATTGGGAGTTTATTCTAAAACATACGCCCCTGTCGACAAAATTTAGGTTATTTAGGAGGCGAGCTTCCACCCTGCCTGTCAAGACCAACCCGGGCTGAGAGGGAAACAACAGATACTCCAGTAAAAAAAAAAATATTCTCCCTACTCGGAAATCGAACTTGGGTCTCTTGCGTTCCGCGGCGAGAAGTGTCTAACCGCTACACCACAAACGCCAGTTTATTCAAGATCAAGTGAGCATGAAATGCAATGAGAGGTGTATTTTAACGTGTGGATACATGTCCTGAAAGCTAGATGTCGATTTTTTGCGATAGTTTTTGACAAAACTAATGTTGCAAACCCGTCTGGGGTAATGAGTTCTTGCGCATGAACGCGACGAGCGAAGTTATTATTTACACAACCGAGGAACAAGAGCTGTCGGGTTTTTATAAGATTTATAGCTGTCGTTAAGTCAGCGTGCTCAGAGATGAGTTTCTGAATCAACAATTTCCTGTAAATCATCATCCTCAACATCATCATCATCATCATCATGATCGTCATTGAGCTCAACAAGTGTGAAGGACACGCCATTTTGCAAATTTTCATCAAAACGTATTATGAGCTCTAAAGGAATTGTGAATGTCGAGTAGATCTATATATAAGAGCAACAACTTATGATAACTTTAACACACAGAAATTATGTTAAGATATGTACTGCTTAGCAACTCCTTTATATTTAGCGTTTGTAGTTACTTTTACATGGCACACCCCGATTTCTGAGTTGTTGAGAAATGTAGAAAAAATCTTGAATTCTATTCTCTTTCTTTTTCCGGGTTGTTTTTTTGGTGGATTATAAGTGTTTTACGGCGGTCGCAACTGCTTATGGTCATATGAGCGCGCGGGACATATTAAACAATTTCAGTTTTGGTTGGACATTTTGAATTTTGCCCGGGTGGCGGTCGAAGCCTACTCTCATGGATTTTGGATCACCAAGGGATCTTTAACGAGCGCAACCTGCTCACGAGACCTCCGAGATGTGGCACACTTATCCGAGAAGGCTAGATGTTCGATCTTACCTACCATAAAACAGCAGTAAGAAGGAGCCAAGGGGTAGCAGTAGAAAGGCTGCAGAAAGAGTCAGGTGCCCAGGTGAGGGGTGGTGGCAAAAAGTGGAGATGAAAGCAGACGACAGAACATTGTTACAGTGCTGGAAAGGAGGTGAAAGGATCCAATTTTAGAGAAGAAAATTTTCCGTCGGTATCCAGATTTGTACCCGGGACCTATTGAAAGAGAGGCCAACACCGGAACCCTCGTCTATTCTGGAGTGTAGGTACGAGCTATAGTGCGTAAATGTAACTAGATCGAATGTTATTATCAATATTAGTATTAGTATTAGTATTATTA